GAGAGGAGCAGTATCCCTGCACCAGACTCTACTCGGTGCACAAACCATGCAAGCAGTGTCTGAACAGCCTTTGCTTCTACAGGTACAGGATAGATGGCCCTCAGAAATATGAGGTCTATCCCACAGACACAGACATTACTGTGATCACACTAGAGTCAAAATGTAATGGAGCTTAATGTGACCTGACCAACTCTACATTTTGGAGAAATCATGAAAACATTTACCTATAGTAGCTGCAGTCTTCCTAAGCAGCTTGGAGAGATCAGACACACGTAATGCATGAAAATCCACCCCTAACATTACATTTGTGTTTATTTATATTTATTCCTCAGAGTCCTTTCCCTCATCTTTTTGCTGCCAGTAAGGACTGAGGGTTCATGCTTTTATGATGTGCAGCTGTGCTCAAAATAACAGCAGTCCAGCGTTACTAAACAGATTAGTCATTATTTTCTATAAACGCTATAGTTCCATGAAACAAATAGTTTACTTGTGTAGCAGAGTGATAGACGGCCAACAGAATAACACTGAAAGACGGTGAGGTCATTCAGTCTGTCAAAGCGCAGAAATAAACGGGGTGCTCAGCTAAAATGCTCTTAAAACGTTAAACTGGAAACCAAAAGAGAGACAGAAGAAAAGAGTAAAGATACCAGGAGTCAACTCAAAGAGGGTCTACAGTTTCCTATAAGTGCTGTAAGCTTTGAGATGAAGCCAGGCTATAAGCATTAATCCCTAGCAACCCTGCAGGGACATAGATAATGGATTGTTAGACATTTGGTGGCCTAATGAAAACAATGCAACATTTTGTGCATCGCTGATTTTTCTGATGTGCAGATTGCTTAGCAAACAATCCCTAAGTGGTTTCAGGCCTGTTTACCACACATCGGATCTACTGAATACATTAACATACTTTGAGAGGTGATGTTGCTTTATGCCAAAATGGAAATAACATTAAAATAGGCATTTTAATAAGACAGCAACCTCAAACACACCAGGGAACATATTGCTTTCAAACCAGCAAGATTTATGTTGTGGGCCAGCCTGCCAAAACAAATCCAATAAAACTAAACATGTAGCCTGATCCCAAGGAAGATGTTTCTGAAACAAATGCAGAGATTTAGAAGCAGATTTGTATTTTAAAAGTGCAGCATTCCCAAAGGATTTTATGTGGAAATGGAGTAAAGCTTAGCTTTCCTCTGTTATTTAAACACAGCGCTGTTATTTTGAGTATAAGTGTTGATGTAAATCATAGACATCAACTTGCCTTGTTAATCTAGATTAAAAAAACTGAGGATTAAAGGATTTTTTTTGTAAGTTTCATGAGGTAAACCATGTACTGTTTGTCAGTGTGTGCTGCTAGTTTCTCTTAATACATTCTGATTTCTCTCTTGTGTTTTTGTTCAGTTTGCGACGGGTTTATGTAATCAACAAGGAGATCTGCATGAGGACCGTGTGCGCACATGAGGAGCTACTCAGAGGTGGGCTTAGACCTGCATATTACACAACAGCAAACCCAAGATGCACAATAATGAGATTCAAACACTTTCATAGTTTGGGCTGATATCAATGTCCAGTATGAAAGGTCTAGTGGAGGATGTTCTTTTTCCGGGTGGATCATCAAAATAAGTGGTCCTCGCGATTGTCAATCATTCTGGTCATATGTTTATGTAAGGATCGCCCCCATTTTCACTTACCGGTCGTGAGTCTGACGTGGAAAAATTGCAAACCTTCTTTTAGAAAGTAAGCATTGTATGGGAGATGCAAACAGTAACTTTTAAAGAGAGCGTGCATTAGGAGAATGGGCTCGTGCATGAGGAGAAATGGGCTCGTGCATGAGGAGAAATGGGCTCGTGCATGCTATCATGTGCATTTAATAGGTGTTCCCTCTCGGGAGCGAGTACAGGGTTGTGCATGTGCATTTTCATTTTTAAAGTGGAGAGGGAGGGTCTTTTCAACAATTCGTGAAAATCCTCAACTATACCTTTAATATTGCTGATTCTCAATATATACAAATAATGTGTGCTATATAATTCCCAACACTTTGGTCCATATGGAAAAGAAACCATAGTGCTGATCTTTGTTTCAGTTAAACACCCACAGTCCTGCATTGCATCATTGCCATTGTCACAAGACCAACCCCCCCACCACCTCTACCAACACATAAAGCGGCAAAATGTAAATAAATATCAGATGTTTAGTTTTACTTCTCAGACTGATACTGATATGTTTAGTGAAAACCAAACATCCTTGTCAGTGCTGATGTTTGATGCATCCATATTTACTTTAATGCTTTCTTACATGATTCCTGCCAAATAATCAAAATAAATTGATGAAGATCAGGGTCCTACCTGGATACAGAGTCACACAGGAAAAACAGCCAGGAAAAGATTCATAACCTTACAGTTATGTTTTTGGACTATGGGTACCAGGAAACAACCCATCCATACACTGGGAGAACAATCGATCTCTTTGCATGGGGATATTTTTTATTAATTCATTCATCAAATTTTTATAATAAAAAAGAATAAAAAATATTATCAAGCCAATGTAGCTACAGTTAGAAAATAAGAACATAATGATCTAATATATTAGCAGCTTCTTTATAGTGGAAGTAAAAGACGGTTGCTATCAGAGGGTAAACTGTGTGTCTTTTTCTAGCGGATCTGTGTCGTGATCAGTTCTCTCGCTGCGGTGTGATGGCGCTTAGCGGTCAGTGTGCATCGATTGGAGGAAGCTGTGGCAAAAGCTGCGGAGGCTGCTGATCCGGATCAGGAATGCTGCCTGCTGGGATACTGACTCTCCTCATTCATCCGGATGACTCCATCCTTTTGTGCGAAAAGCACTTTTAATATTTTTGTTTTTCTTTTTGTTTTTTTTATAGAGGTCTGTCCAGTAGATCCTGTTTTTACCATAAGGGATCATCAATAACACTGACGATTATCTGAGTTACTGGTGCTATAACTTTTAGAGGTGCACATAAAACCATGAAATTAATTCATATTTTTTCTGTTTTTATGTTGTGCCATAATAATCCCATTTTTTGTGTTTGTTGAAATGTTCTTGTACTTTTGTTGAAAAGCAGTCATCATTAAGATGATCAGAGCTCTGATAGCATACAGGACTCATAAGCGGGCAGCGGCTGAGCCTCTCAGCTGAAGATCAGGAGGCATGTGGAGAAACATGAGCTCAGCATCACAACAGCAATCAGTGGTTTAAAGGGGCATCCCACCACCACCTCTGTACTACTGCTTGGTTAAAGTGTCACTATAAAGACTGAAAAATAAATGTTTATACTACAGATGCTCAGTGTGTGCTTTGATTTCAACCTCTGCTTATAAATCTGAGTTAAAAGAAACAGCAGTGGGTTTAGAGCCACTGCTAGTGTTATGAATAAGCAAACTGAACATAGTATCCTTTGCACGAGGTGAAATGGCGTTGCCTCTCAGGAGCGGGTACAGGGTTGTGCATGTGCATTTTTTTTAAAGGTGAGACGGCGATTCTTTTCAAAAATTCATGAAAATCCTCCAGAATACCTTCAATATAGAAACTTTAAAGCAGCATCTGTAGACATTACCGTTCAATTTAAACCCTGAGGACAAGCAATGGAAAACTAACCTGCAGCCTATCCATAAATAAGTAGAAAAATTCGTTTAGTTGGCGACAAAATCTCTGAGGTCTTTAACGTCCTTAACGTTAAAGACCTCAGCATTAAATTGTTGCCATGACGACGATAAATATGTGAGGCAGCCATTTTGTATCTTGAGCTACGGGCTATCAATCTCAGACTTTGTCTCTTCCAACTCCCAACGTTTGCAGACCTATATTTTACAACTTTGCAGCATTCAAGATACCTTTTTTTAATTGTAATTCTTTAAAAAAATGTTTAATAGATTTTGTACCAGTTTTACCGTTATAACATAGTGACAAAAAAACAAACAAAAAAACAACAACTAGTATTTACAAAGGGGGTACATGTTAGCAACATTTCAAGAACCACTGATTTAAGGTTTCATTTATACATTTTGCTTAAGCATAAAACTATACTCTATAAAAAAGTCTCTCTGCCAACTCTGACCTATCTAACACGTGTGCATGTTGAGGAGAGAATTATATTGGCAGATGGTGACTGATGGGAACTGAAGCCAAATTGCATCATTATTTCTCTGACACTGAATTCTACTTCATATGAAAGTTTAATCATAGATTGACTTTATCAGATCTATTTAAGCTAGTTCATAAAGCAACCTAAATAAAAAAATAAAAGTCTGCACATTTTTAAATGTGTCCTCACAATTACATTTCTCTACCCAGCAATGAAAGGAGTGAGTCGTACCACAGAGCAATAAATAAATGTAACAAAGCGTGAGGTTCACCTACACTGCATTTAAACACCACCAAACCTCCTGTGCATATGGTGTTCGATGGATGATTTAACATTGCTGGACACTTTGGAAACAGGAAATTAGGAGGGAAAGTATATATTTAACCAACTCTTCATCTTACTCACTAACTCCTTATTTCTTCCTGGGTTAAACAGGGCCCTTTATCTGTGGTTGCAATGGTGACCATTAAATGACATCGTGCAGCTGGCTCACTTGACTATGGTGTTTTGATGGACCTTTTATGGTCGAATGTGAGCAAGAAGTGGGCCGAACATTAGGTTGACCCTTGGATAATAACAGACACAGCTGCAATTCTTTTAGGATAATTGTCCAATTTTTGTGCATGCACATGGTTTTATATTTTTTTAAATTATACACTATTATTAGGTGTTTGATGTATGTATCTTTAAGTATGGATCTCTCATGCATACAGCTGTTCAGGGTAATATGTAGTGTAAGCTTTCTCCTTTAACAACACCTTTCTTCTCACTTTTTGCACAACAAATAGTTGCCCTGTAAACATATTTCTCCAGCTAAGCCGTTCATTTATGCAGCTCCTCCACAGTCACCACATGGCTGCTCCCCCTGCCTAGCAAGTCAGCACATATTTTCTCTCATAAATCTGAGTCTCATGTTTATTTCCAACACGATTGTGACTGCTGCGGTTTGTCTTCAGCCTCTCATCGTCGATACATAGAGAAGCTGTATTTGTATAATTTATACTCATTTCAACAAGATCTAATGTAGTAACAAACAAAAAAAACAGTGTTTCAGTTATAAAATCTAGTCTATCTAACATTAAATGATTAGTTCAATCTGTCTCCTAGAGATAAAACAGTGCAGTTAGTTTAATGGTGCTTCCATGTCCATATTTTCTGTTCTTTAATAGTCGTAAATAACCTTCAACATTTTTCTCTCTTCTTTGTGAGTGCATCATTTCTGTAATGATTTTAGTTTTTCTTGTAAAAAAGCATAAAGTTTAAGACGGCATCCAGCCAGGACATGTCACAGATGTTTAACAAGTAGTTAGTGGTTTGCTGGTGGCTTTAAGGCAACGCTTGTTTGTGTTTGTGCTTCATTTGTTTGTTAGTTACAGTTTTAAACATCATTCAAGCACTTCAGAAATAACTGTTGAACAAAAGGTTGTGTTTAGAGTTAGAGTAAGGATTGACTGGAGTTTAGATTCATCTTCTTCTAGGTGTGTCTCAGTTCGTCAGTAATGACGGAGGGAGAGAGGGCTGCCGTCTCTTTATCTCCTGCTGCAGCTGCTCCTTTAGAGTAGACACCTGGCAAGAGGACAACAGGAGAAAGCTTTTTAGATCTGTATGTGAATAACTGATGGAATGAATGTAATCTGCAATCCAGCCATCATCCATCTGGATAAAAACTTACTAACTGTTACACCCTTTAAACAAGACTAGAAAACAATGCAGGACTGAGATTTCTTGAAAATTAAAAGGTAGACAACAACAAAACAAAATAAAAAAAATTCATTTTAAAAATAAAATTCCCTTCAGCATACATACATCCATTTTTTTTCTCCAAATTCCAGGTTAAGTAAATTCTACACTTAAATAGATCCTGAGTATATGATGAGGCAAACTGATGAAGGTTTAAGTAAAAGCCTTAGAAAGTAACAATTTACCTTTGATATATCCAACATCAACAAATCTGTATTTTTCAATACCTGCCTTTATTGAATAATATTATAATTGATTGTATTTCTGTTAGCGTGTCCAGATCATGTGAGCTTCTCCTAGATTCTGGATTTGAAGAAATTAGTCTGGAAACAGCAGGACTGTATCAGATTGTTTTCTAAACAGGAACACTGAATGGTGTTCGAACAGTTTTGACATGATCATCACAAAGATCAGCTGAGTTAAGAAGTTGGTTTAGCACTTTGGGCATCTGCCATCTTTGTTTTTAAGCTGTTTTTGCAACGAAAAAAGTAGCACTGTCTGAAGCAGCTGCTGTTTGACGTTTCTCTGATAACTTGTCACTGAAAATACCCCAAAAAGGATTTTGAAAAAGCATAAATTAAATCAGCTGCTGTTCTTTAACCCCTGAAAGGGTCTAGTCTGCCATTTAAAACCACTATAATGGTGGACTTCAGCCTTATTTAGTTAGCATGAGGCTGCAAGTTGGGAGTTGGGATGTTTTAATAGTTTTTAACTCAATGTTTTTTCAACATTTCATTGGAGAATTTTACCTTTAGTTATACAAAAGGTGTTTCAATGCTGTGGCTGACCAACACCCTGAGAGAAACCCTAATCAAACTACCTGTTCTTCCAGCCCTTTGACCCGATGGCGGTGAGCCCGCTCCCTGGTGCCCAGCGTTCGCTCCACGTCCCGGAGGCTGCTCCTCATCCTCTCGGCCTCTCGTTGAACCTCGTCACGCTGCTGGACCAAACTCTCACACAGACTGTGGGAGTGCTCCATCTCAGCCAGCTGGGTCTGTTCAGGAAAAACACACAAAAAGTTAATACTGACCTCTGTACAGCACACAACGTCACACTGTAGGTAAGGAGGAAGAGCATTCATGGCTGTTACTTTCATTGGGATGATATGATGCATAGCTTTGCTCTCATCTCTACTAATTGTTTGTCTAATTGATATCTATTGATAATCAACTTTTACTTTATGAAGCATGAGCAAATATATCATTGATTTTTATTTTTACTGTTGGGGATCCTTGTTGCATTAAGGTTAGAGACTTATTTCTTTATGCAACAAGGGAGGCAAAACTTTTCCTTTCCCTGAACAGAGACATTTTCTTCCCCTCATGGAATAAACAAAGCTGCAATACTAATTGGTAAAACTGTCTTTACGAGGGTTTCTTTCCCTGCATTTTTTTCCCCACAAACATTTCTGCTGACTGGGAAAAGTTTGCCTAAATAAGGAAATGTCTGAGATGTTAAACCTCCTTGAAATAAACAACAGATTCTGAATTCCTCTAAATCCCGCTTAACTTGTTTGTGGCCTTTCTGTGCTGCATTTAAAACAATGTTAATATGACCTAAAAAATGATAAGAATTAAACAACGTTTCCAGAAAACTATAAATCTTTTTCTGCACACTGCAGAGAAAGAAAGTCAAATACTGATCTCAGATGCCTGCTTTCTTCTTTTTAATAACAAGCTGTAAGTTTCCTTTACACAAAGATAATTATGCTCCACCCAAGCTTAATAAATAAAACATTTTCATTTCCCTATTGAGCTCCTGTTTGTCTTTTCTCTTATTTTATAAGATTAGAGAAATCCAATCCCAACTACGCAGCAGTTTTGTAGATGTTTATTCTCCCTGTAGGGATGGTTTGATGAGGAATCTGTTCATGCATACTCATCCTCACCTGCAGCATCAGGATCTGCTGCTGTGCTTCCTGGAGTTCCTGCTCTGCTGTGTTTAGGGAGCGATCCAGACGGCTCTTCTCTGCAGAAAGCCTCATGCTGCCCTCCTCGGACATCAGCTTTTGGCGTTCAACCTGATGTCATTAGTGTCTCATTTTCAGTTTTTGGGGCAAGAAACAGAACATTTACAGATTCATGAAGGAAATACGTCTACACTCGCCTTATCCAGTGTGTTCCTTAGTGCATTCTTGTCTTTCTCCAGCCTGACCGCCTGCCTCTCGGCATCCTTCTTTTCTGTCTCCAACAAGGCCACTGCTCTCTGCAGTGCACGCAGCCGCTCTTCTACGACGGCCCGCTCTGTCTGTGCTAGCTGGGCACTCCGCTGTGCTTCCACCAGACTGGCCGAGCGCTGACGCAGAGCCTGAGAGAGGAAAAGAGACTCTTACTTCCTCTGAAGAAATGCTGGGTGTCATTTAAATGGGCTGTAGTCTGCCTGACCTCCTGACTGCTGCTGAGCTCCACCTCCAGCTCTTCTCGCCGCAGTTCGCTCTGGCTCAGCTCACTCTGCAGGTTCTGCACACTATCAGTGAGGGCAGCCATGTTCCTCTTTCCTTCAGCCAAAGCTGCCCGTACTTCATCCAGTCGTTCCTATACAAAACAACCATTAAATTACTTTCTTTTTTTTATTCACAGACTTTCCATTTTTTGATCTAATCCACAAACCTGTAGAAGCCTTTTGTCCTGCTCAGCTGAACTGAGTGTCTTCTGCAGGGCGAGCAGGCGGCTCTGCGTGCTGCTGTGGGAGTCTGTCACCTCCTGGAGCGTCTGGCTGAGTGACGTGGCCTTCTCCTTAAGAACAGATTCCCCTTCCTGAGCTTTTAGCACAGCCTGGCTCAGCCTGTCCACCTCCCTCTGCAGCTGGGAAACACGAGCTTCCCCATCTGCAACCTGCAATGGGTGGAAAATTGTGTTTCGTTGAGGCCAATCGATGCAATCATGCAATCAGTCTTTGCTCATTAATTTATGATTTTCTTTAATCCATATATCAGCTGTAATATCAATTTAAAATGAATAGAAATGTTGTGAACAGAGGTGTAGCTGCTTGTGTGCTCCATAGAAACATCATGAATTTAGCCTTGTTGGTATCAAGATCCTGAAGCAGATAAACCTATAAGGACATAAACCTATAAAGACAAATTGATCTGAGCTCTTTTAAATTGACCGCTGGCTTGAAGTTATAAATTTTAAATTTATTTTCTCCCTCATCTACCTTGTTGTCGACTAATCAACACACAAATATTCCCTTTATGAATATGAACTGAAGTTGGAGCAGGAGATTACAGTTGAGCTATGAATTGAAGCCAGTGTTTGGTGTTCCAAACATAAGGTCACTATTCTCAGCAGCCTATAGCTTTTTTTTTTTTTTTTTTTAACATTTCAGATCGAGAGAGTTTAAAGTTTGAACCCAGTTTTATCTTAACCCAGTTTTATAGTAATAAAAAAATACTATATTTTCCAAAGCAGTTGGACTTCCATAAGTAAGTGAAGTGGTCAAGATAATTTCTTCAGTCTTTCTATATCTAATATTTTTTTTTACTTTTTTGAAAATGTTTTTTTCACCCTTTATGCATGTTTCTTATGAGCTAAAACAAGGAAACAGACAAAAAAATGAGGAAGAAAAAGAAAATATAAGGCATAAAAAAAACATACATAAAAAGAGGAAAACCTAAAAAGTTAGTTTTATAAAGAAGTTGCAAACTTTTCTGAACATTAAAGCTGCTCCAGGCTGTTTCAGGGTCACAGACTCATAACCTTTTGGCAGACCTGTTTGATGAGAGCGTCGTGCCGCTGCAGAGTCGCCTGGCTCTCTGCTTCACGATCTCCCAGACTCAGTTTGAGTCTCTGCAACTCCCCCTCCAGACTGCGCCTCCCCAACTCCACCCTTGTTGCCCGAGCTTCAGCCGCCTCTAGCGCCTCCCGGAGGCGCTTCCTCTCGGCCTCCAGGCGCATCTCAGCAGCTCGCTGCTTGTTCAGCTGATCCTGCAAAAGAGTGGGGGGTGCAAAGTGTTCATGTTGGCTGTTTGCTCTAACATAGCTGAATGTTTGGTTTGTTTATGTGATCAGTTGCTGCATTGTGTCTGCTCATCCTGTGGTGCAGGAGGTGATTCATTGTGGAAACTGTTGAGATTATGAAGCAACATATGGAGAGCTGATACACGACACCACGAGGGGAGGACATCTGTTGTTATTTCAATCCCCGACAGCTAACTTTTATAAATATGGCTCCAATGTTGAGTGCTGCCATATGGCGACTGTGGCGCACTCGGTCACTGGCTGTGAGACTGATTGCATCCAGTCCAAGCATGAGGTGTGAGTACCTGGATGTGCTTTTTATCCATCTCTGAGGCCTGCAGCGATCGTTCTAATTCTTTCACGCGGTCGGAGAGAGCTCTCCTCTCTCTGTCTCCTCTCCTCACCGCCTCCTCCTGTTGCTGCAGAAGAATCTGAGTGGTAGTCAGGCGCTCCTCCAGGCCACGCTTCACTGAACACAAAAAGTGATATAAAGACGAACATAATATCAAAATATTTTTCCTTTTTGGAATGACTGCATATTCAAAGAAAAAGGGATAGCGGCCCAGGTTAAGAAGGTAATCTTAATTGTTAGGTTAAATTGCTTCCACAAAAAAAAGCTGTTTCTTGCTATAACAACATTTAAATCCATTAAAAGATGAAAAATACACTTGAAAACTGTTTAAAAATAAATCATGTTTCATTAGAGGTCCCTTTAATTAAATTCCCCTAAATCCAATCCAGCACAACAAGCTGGCTTCATAAAGAGAGTAGACCTGTTTATCACTAAAAGAAATATTTTAGTGTCAACTTCCGTGTATTTCATTGAGAGTTTGTTCTTGTTTGCAGACCAGAAAATGTCTGTGGAAAAAGAACAGTGTCATCAGCAGAATCAAAGTATTGTCAGGAATAATCTTTATCATTCATGAAAAGTTTGTTAAACCTTAAAATAAATAGGTTATTCAAAATAATATCTTTGCATAATTCTCCATTAATTACTGATGATTTCTGTAGCCCTAGTAAAATAATATTTAAGAATTTGACATTTCAATCTTAATGTTTTATTTCATCTCACTCGAGAGCCAGATTACTTTTGCTTCATCTTTGCATCTTTCGCCAAGATAACAATAATCATCTTCACCGCTAAGTCACAGATTATTGGAAGATACAGGGATACCTATATAAATTCAAAAGCCTATTTAGATAATATTACGTTTAATTTTCTCTAGGGCCAGGTTTGAAAAAGTGGACAGGTACTTTTTCAAAGGGATTGGACACAAAATAATGACACGTCCTAGCAGATAGACAGTCACTTGGACTGACAGTTTACAGACATCACCGAGAGAAGAACCAACAGGAGCTGCTTTTCTTGGTTCATCTTCATTATTTTGTAAAAATTCTCTATTATTACTTGGCTTACCTTAGATTAACCCTTTAAAGCCCAATCCAAGAATAAAACAAAACAGAAAATTACTTTTTTTTGGTTTAAAGTCCTTATTTGGCCTTATAACAAAATATGTAAAAAGAAAAAAGAGAAATAAATTTTTGATATTAATAATTTATTACTATGCGATAAGTCAAGATTATTTTTTGTGTAGTCTTCTGCCCTCTGTTATCAGGTATATCTGATTGTGTACAATAGAATTTTGAGCAAAGTTTTTACCATTAAATCATGCAAAAGGTGTCAGACGCAGAACATTTCAGAAACCGTATGTATCAAATATGATACATTTGGCATTACAGGGTTAAAGAATGCTCAAGTTTAACTCCTGTTTAAGACTCTTTTACTATAAGAAGTGTTAAATAAAGTGATCGCTCCAGGCAAAAAGAACCAAGAGTAAGCCAAAAAATGTTATCACCTTCAGGGAAAAATCGCCTGAGTTACACAATAATTAAAACTAATTGGTGATGAAGAATACACTAAATGCATCATCAGCTAAAACAATGGATATGTTTTAGTCTAATGCATTCAGGTTGGTGTCAAATTAGGCCACTGCTAAAAACAAACTGTCGTTCTAAATCTTTTATCCTATTTGAATGTTGGTCTTAAACATCCTTGCAGAAGGAGCTTCTCTTTTGCATTTACTGCCTTTATATATAAGATTTGTTTCAAATGTGCATTTTGCACACCATGATGCTGCAAGGATATGTGTGTCTTCTTACAATGCATATGAACTGGGATCCTGTAAATGATTAACCCTTTTAAGAGGTTAAATTTTGCATCAATGCTATCTCTTAGAAAACAAAGGCACAGATAAAGTTTAAGGGTGACAAAAGGGATTTCCCATCCCAAAGTATTGATTCACGTATTTAACACATTCAGGATTTTAATTTCAACTTTCTTTAAACCATGCAGCATTTCCTGCTTCTGTTTACTCATTTATTTTCATATATCAGTCTAACAAATTCCTGATATATGCGGCTGATATTTTGAAGCCAAAATTTCTTATTCTTCCTTTGTTAACATGATTAAAGCTCAATGATATCAAATGGTAAACAAGTCTTAATAAAAAAAAATATCAAACAAAATATGAACAATGGATAACAACTTCAAGGAGCAACAATACATGCGCTTCATGTGATCTCCAGGCGTGCTGAATGCACTGAGGAATTCCCTTTTGCATGCATGTATCAACTGATACCAAAATAATAATAAAAAAAAGATATTATCCAGAATCAGTTTTCCTAATAAACAAACCTTCTTGCATATCCTGCAAAGTGTTCTGCAGATGAGAGAGGCGAGTCTGAGCAGAGCCTCGTTCCTCCTTTAGCTCCTCCAGCTCCCGCTGCAGGACCCCCAGCTGGCAACGGGCATCATCCTGCAAAATAAGCAGTTATCTTCAAAAATTTCACCAAAATCATCAAGTTACTCTAAAAGAGTTGAGTTCTTGATGTTGTCATGCTGCACAGGACTGTTACCCTCTCTCTTTGTGCATCTCGCAGCTCCTGGAGGAAGTCTCTGAGGCCGCTTCTTAGGGAGTCAGGGTCGAGCTCTGATTGAGGCAGCGGCGTGTCGCCTCTCTCAGGAGAAACAGCCCCTGAACCTAGAGTGTTGTCTGGCGTGCTTCCTCGAAATTCTGCTTGAATAAGATTCACAGGTCAATTTAATTTAACATTTTATAGCTGGATGTTTATTTTTAGCAACCTCAATCCAACCAAAGGAAAACTCTTTTCATGCAAAGCTTCATGCACTCCATTTTAAACGTCTTGGTTAAGATAAAGAAAAACCAAAACTGCTTGGTGTTCCCCTTAAAATCACCAGACAAGAAAATTTCCAGTAAAATAATAAAATCATTAACTATGTTATTGGTTTTATATGTGCTTGGTGTTGTGTTTTAAAAGGTAATCAGTTTATAGCAAGAGAATCTTAAGTGGAGGCAGACATGGAGCTTTGTTCAAAATTTCCTCATCTAATGAAACTTATTGGTAAGATATAATTTTGCATGGCGGAGCTGAACAATTCTTGGCAGCTAAACAAAAAGATTTATTACAAAAACAACATCAAACTTTAGTCAAGTGAACAATAAATATGCATTCTGTTGACCTTTAGGAGGGGACAGTGAGGAGCGCAGCGGCGAGATGCTGTGGTGGCGCGACATGCTGCCTGGTGACGTGGAGCTGCCTCCTGGGCTCCTCCCCCTGCGGCTTGCCCCAATGCCCAGGGTCCGCGTCAGCGCCGACTGGAGGCTGCTTAGTCGAAACTCAAGATCTCTTCTCGAAGCCTCAGCTCTGGTGAGCTCCGCCTCCGTGGCGGCCAGCCGGCCCTGTGCCTCGCTCAGCTTCAGGCTGGACTGAGCGGCGGCGTCTTGGGCGGCCTGAGCACGCAGCGACAGGTTCTTGGCTTCATCCTGGAGTTTCTTCTCGCAGCCGTGGGCCTCCTGCAGCTGGGCAGTCAGTTCTCTCTCACAGCTGCGCCATCCTGACTCAGACTCTGTCAGTCGTCTCTGAGTGAGGGACAGCTGACACAGAATCAAGTGTTAACTCATCATCATGAGGACAGAAAACTGAAAAACCAGTGAAACTGCATCCTCACTTCCTTCTTGATGGCATCTCTGGTAGTTTCAGCTTCAGTCAGCTTCTGTTTGAGGCAGAAGACCTCCTTTCCTCTCTCCTCGTCCCGTTGCTCCTCCAGAGCCAGACGGGTCTGCACCTCCGCCACCTCCCTCTCTTTCTGCTCCTTCTCTGCATCTAAGATTTTCAGCTGGTGCAAAAAAAAAAAAAAAAAAAAAAAAAAAAAAAAAACCCAAAAGCTGTTATTTAAGAGTATATCTTAAAAAATTTACTTTTCAAAACAACCTATTTGATAATCTGACTCATTCTCACCTGTCGGCGGAGCTCCTGCAGCTCCCGCCGCGCCTCAAGCCGTGACCTTTCGACCTCTCTCAGGCAGCTGCGCAGCTCCATCACTTCCTTCTGAGCGGATGACAGGTTCTCCTCCAGAACAGCCAGCCTCTGCTCCTTCTCCTCACACTGTCGTTTCACACTATCACACACACACACACACACACACATCTTATGTACTGTTATCCTTGCAGGGAATTTGCAACCACTTCCATTCCTGCCTACAGTCTAACACAGACTCTCACCCTAACCCATTAACAACACACATCCATTTCTAGCCTAAACTCAGTCTACACCTTGGCCATAAACATAATCCTGCAGCCAAGAAGAGGACCAGCTGACTGGTCCCCAGAAGAACCTCTAACCCATCAGTTCCACTGGATGTCCAGCTGTGCTGCAGCTTTTCTCCCACACAGTTGGACTCAGAGCAGGTCAGTATTGTATCATTGTGCTATAGCAGCATACTCTCTGCTCTAAACAGAACAATAAACCAGTGAAGCGTTTATTTTCCCAGTGCTACCAGCATCTGGAGAGCCTGATTTTATTGAATCCCCATAGCTTTTTTTTTATTTGGACTTATCATGGGTTAGTAAGTTTGACTGTTTAGTTTTTTTTTTTTTTATTTATATTTATTATTGGTCTCAATTACCTTTATGAACTGAATTTTGTATTAAATTACATTCAAACCATGTGACCCACAGTCTTCATGTTGTCTTTTACTTTCCCATTTATCAAGTGACTTCCTTCCTGAACGATCTGCTCTGCTTTAGACCGATTGTTGAGTTGGAGCAGCTTAAACAGAACAGCTGCCTACTGAGGAATGCAGCCAGCAACGGACAGGTCTCTGAAGCATCCCAGATGCTTGGAACTACTTACTGACTAGAATTGCTGCGATCAGCTGCAACAGGCAGCGGAGCCAAAGCACACGTCCAGTGAATCCGAGGAGTAGGTCAAAAAGTAGCATATTCCTGTGAAACTGGCCTGGGAACTCTGTCCCCACACAGTTACAAATACTTGGCCAAACAAAGATCTTCTCCTCTGAACATACTCTCTCACCTGATCCTCTCGGTCTCTGCGCTGCGCAGCGTTCCTCTCAGCTGAGTGTTTGACTGGCTCAGAGCGTCCCTCTCTTTGGTGACGTCGCTGAGGCTGTGCCGCAGCTCTATCGCCTCCCTCCTGTAGTTTTCTGCTGTCTCTTGATTTTGGCTCAAGCGGCATTCGGCCTCCAGCAGATCTTTTCTCACCTTGTCTCGGCTCTCCTCTGCGGCTGAGAGAGAAGCTCTGCACTGCTCCAACTAGATATGTGGAGAAGCGACAAACTGGACCCTCAGTGATCCCTCATAACAACCAGTCAGACAACAGGAGAAAATAAATGGGGAATCTGTTAGCCCTAATCAAAGCTTTCAGGATTATAAAAAAAAGTAAACATCTGCTTCGAAATATGCCGGTGTCTCTATCATGGTTTGTTGGCAACGATGACATTAAGCTGTATTTAAAAACATTGGGTCCTTCCTTGTAGAAGGCTTGAATCTAAATATTCCTGATTGTCTTGAGCTGAGAAACAGTTGCTGGTGAAGTAGGAAGAATGTAGAACTGGATCCTGGAGGTCTTGAACCCTTTACACGTGTCTATCCTTCCACACCTGGATCAAATTGTTGAATCACCTCTTCATGCAGTCCAGTTCCTCAGAGTCCTGCTAATCATCGGCTTGTTTGACTCAGGTGTGATGAAGCAGAGACACATTTAAAAGGTGCAATTCAGGGAATCCTGATGTGAATTATGCAGGGCTTTATAGACCTCTTCACTTCACTTTGTAGAAATAAAGTCTTGAAAGTCAGTAATTGCTGAGGCAAATTCACGACCCAAGCTGAAAAGTTAATTTCTGATTTTTGCATGACCAAGAGAGGGAAAATGTGACAACTCTTCTTCTTCTGCACTTTATAATCTACCTCTTTGTAGGCCACATCTGCCCGAGAGCGAAGATCAGCACAGAGCTCCTGCAAGCTGTGGACTTCCCTTTGCTGAGCTGATGCCGCCTCGTCCAGCTGAGAGCGGAGCTCAAGCATCTCAGCGGTTAGGGCTCCAACTCTAATCTAAAAAGAAAAGAAAAAAAAAACAGAGCCAGTTTAGTTTTTTTATCTGTATATTTTGGGATTCGAACACTGCAGCTGAAGATAAATTCAGGCAGAAAGGTAAACCTGCTCCTGCTCTTTGTGATGAGCTGCCTCTCTGGCCATGCGCTCCGCCTCCAGAGCTGCAGTCGACAGCTCAGCCTGCAGACTGGACACCCGGTCAGACAACACAGCCTTCTCTGCCTCCTTCAGGGAAAGGGCCTATAGATAAAAGAGTTTAACAGTTCAATTGTCAGGATCAATACAATTCAGTTTATTTATATAGCGCCAATTCACAACACATCACCTCAAGGCACTTTACAGTTCACCAGATCATACAGTCAAATTGATTCAAAGTTTTCTATCTAAGGAAAACCAGTTGATTGACTCATTGACTTGAATGCAATCCCTCACACTAAGCATGCTTGTAGCGACAGTGGAGAGGAAAAACTACTCCCTTTTAACAGGAAGAAACCTCCAGCAGAACCAGGATTTAACAGGAAGCCAATGAAGAGAAGTCAGGATAGGAGAGATATGATCTCTCTTTTTCATTTTCATCAGAACTCAGGCTGCAGCATTTCTGATCAGCTGAAGGCTTTTAACTAGAGTTTGTAGACTTCCTGATAGTAAAGAATTACAATAGTCCAGCCTTGAAGTAACAAATGCATGGACTAGTTTCTCAGCATCACCCCTGGACAGGATATAGCTATTTTTTTTTGCAATATTCTGCAGATGAAAAAAGGAAATTCTAGAAACCTCTTTGATATGGGATTTAAATGCCAGGTCCCAAAAATAACAACAATATTTTTACTTTATTATCTGAGATAAATTTAATCTCATCATCTTCATGATTTTCTCCATTGGAAATATTTTCTAGTTTATTAGATTTTGGTTGAGGGCAAGACACTGTCTGGATGGAGTAATGAGTGGGTAACAGTGGAGAAGCTGCAGAGAGGTGTGTTAAACTACAACTGTGCTTCCTGGTCTGCACCCTGGGTTGTCAGGCAAACATGAATAAGTGTTTGTTCTGGTGTCAGAATCAGACCTGCTGTTTCTCAGTCTCTGCCTGCAGCAAACTCTGATCTCGATCATGTTGCAGTGTCCTCAGCTCCTCCTGCAGATCCTCTTTGTCTCTCTTCGCTCTGTGCTGCTGATCCTCCATCTCCTGCCTGAGCCTCCTCAGAGCAGCTTCATGCTCCATCTGCAGACTGTGACGCACAACCTCCTGCAACACAAAGCCATGGATGGGCGAGACACTGACGGGCTTCTTTTACAGATCCAGTATCACATATAGGAATGATCTGAGCCCTCACCTTCTCTGAAACCAACCTCTCCACCTCCTCCTGGTGTTCAGAGGTGGCCTTACGTAGAGCCTGCTGAGCCTCCAGCTGTGCAGCATTTAGGGTCTGAGTTAGAATCTGTTTTTCTCTCTCGGCTTGGGCCAGGGCATTGTCTCCATCTGAACGTGCTCGCTTCAGCTCAGCTAGAAATCCCATCCAGGGAAACATAAAAAAAAAAAGAATTTCATTCTACTTCAATCTAAATTCTTACACCAGTGTTTCAGGCAGATGGTACGGCTTCTGTGTTACTCAGTTTCAATCTTTAAAGGTATATTGGAAGATTTTCACAAATTTTTGAAAAGCCCCGCCCTCTCTACTTAGAAAAAAATATGTACATGAGCAACCTGTACCTGCTCCTGAGAGGGAATGCTTATTTAACACGTGCGAGAACATGTAAACATATCATCAGAATGATTGACAATTAGGAGGACCACTTATTTTGATGATTCACTCGGAAAATGAACATCCTCCACTATACGTTCATCTTTAGGGCTCACCTGCAGCAGTCTCGCAGCGGACCCTCAGGGATTGATTCTCAGCCTCCAGCTGATCTCTGCGGGATTCAACCTGAGCCAGCTGCTGCTGTGCCTCAAACAGACTCGTTTCCAGGGATTCCCGCTCAGACCTGAAGGTTCGCAGGACAAAAAAGTAAAAAAAAATAAGCTGGGAGGGCAAAAGCTCTTGTATTGTTGTATCTATTTTACAGCAGCTATTATTGTTGTTAGAACCTACAGCATCAGGGTGTATTTAGTTTTTACATGATCACAGAGCAGTGCTGACCTGAAAGCTGCCAGTTCCTCTGAGAGCACAGTGTTTTCTCGTTCAGAAGCTGTCAGCTGGACCACCAGAGCTGCTTTGTCCCGGGCCAGCTCCGCTTGACCTCGGCCGGCTTCTTCCAACGCCACCTCGTTCTTCTGGCCCTCCCCCTGAGCCAGGCTCAACTCAGAGCCCAGGGAGGCCACCTCGGCACAAAGCTGCCAACGAACAGCAAGACCACAGCTGGCAATCAGGTCTACATGTTTGTCAGGGTCCTAGTCATAGTTTAAATCGGCAGACTCTAGAGTTCTTAATCTGTTACATTAATCTAAGGCCATGAAATACTTAAAGAAAGAAATAAAACAAGAGTTTTCCAGACTGTTTGGCAATCCTCTGTTTCTTTACTTTTTTTTATCAATCTGTTCTGTACCTGGGCCACCTTCTCCTGCATTTTGAGCCTCTCCGCTCTGAGACTGCGCAGCTCAGTCTCCATCCCAGCCCGGCTCTGCTCCGTGTCCTGCAGCGCCTGCTGCAGAGAGACGCGGGCTGACTGCAGCTCCAGTCGGTCCTGCTCCAGACGGACCAGCTCGTCCCTAATGGTCAACTTCTCCTGCTCCGCCTCACGCTTCTGAGTCAGCAGGAGGGACTTCTCCTCCTCAAGCTGAGAGCCAAACAAGAATAAGATGCTTAGGGAAAAAACAAGATTATACACCATGTTTTGTTAGTCAATGAACATTATTCATTTCATCATATGAAACACATTTGGTCGCATTATAACCCAAAAACTTTGCTGCATTTTTATTGTTGAGTTTCCAACCCTAAGATGACAAAGTTTTGAATGCATTTAGGAAAGCAACTTCAGGGTTTTTACTTTTGGGGACAGTTTAAATCCATCCAACTCCAGGAAAAGTTTTTGGAAGACTTAAAAACTGTGGCGCAAAGTGGGAGGGTATGGCAAGTTCAGGGCATATATCAGTCCCATGAGCAGCTAGCAGGCTTTTGCAGCACTGTTGCACCCTCGTCGGGACTACCTCTTGCTCTGTGTTTGATCCTGTAACGTCTGGACTCGGAGCAGAATCATTTAAATAGTATAAGGAAATATAAGTAAAACTTACTGTTTCCCCAAAATTCATGTATTAAATAAAAAAAATAAAAAATTTCCATTTTACTGGAGCTTAAAAATATAGAGTAGAGATAATGACGAATAATAATAGGGCGACAGTGGCATTGGAGATTGCCCTGAAATCGAAGGATTGATGGTTCAAGCCCCGACTCCGACTTTCAGTGTCGTTGTGTCCTTGGGCAAGACACTTCACCCGCTTCTGTCAGTGAGCCCCAGGGCAGCTGTGGCTACAATGTAGCTTGCCACCATCAGTGTGTGCGTGATAGGTGAATGAATGTAGTGTAAAGCGCTTTGGTCAACTCTCCTGACTTGAATAAAGGCGCTATATAAGTACATGCCATTTACCGTTTACTGCACCAAAAAGTCACACTTCTCAGATATTTATTTTGAAAAAGTTATGTAGAACTTTGTATTTCTCTGTCACAAAAAAAAGAAAAAAAAAACAGAAATAAAATGTTCTTAGTGTTTGTCAATATGACAACCAAATATGAAAGATTTTAAAGGGTGTAAATTAACATAGTGTTTTTTTCTGGAGATGATCTTAAGCTTGGTGCCTCCTCTAAAAGGCTCAGCAGTCTTCTCACCTTTAGGATGTAGTTGTTGAGGTCCACTTTGTCCTGGGCCAGGACCTCATTCATACTGCCCATCTTTACCACAGAGTCCCTGAGAGCTGCATCCTCAGACTGCAGCTTGCTGAGCTGTAGGGACAGCTCTGTGATGCTGCTCTTGGCCTATGGAGTAAGGGAAGGGTTCAACGGCAAACACAGAGCAAAAAAAGGTGAAAATAGAAAACACAAAAATATACAGAAGTCCAGTAAAACCAGCCTGTCCCCTTCCTCACCCGAGCCAGTGCTTCAGACAGCTGCTCCTTCTCTCGCTCCAGAAGCTGCCTCTCAACCTCCCCCTGCTGGTGGGTCTCCTTCACCACAGATAACTCTCCACGCTGAGCTGAAGCTCGACTCTCACTCTGATCCCACTGCTTCTGTCTGTTCAGAGGTGACAGAGTGCAGAAATTGGAGGTCATTTAGTGTTACTAATTTCTAAATTATATGGTTTTATGCTCCTCAGCCACAAGAGTTGGTTTGATTGTGACCAAGCTTGTGTAGATAGCACATTGTTTTGTTTCTTACACTTAGGAGGCCACAGAAAACCACATACAGGTTCATTCAATCACTGCTTACATTCTCAGAGTCTCGGCTTTGGCTCGGTCTCTCTCCTGAAGGGCGATCTCCTTCTCTTCTCTCTCATGCTCTCGTTCTCTTTGAGCAGCCAACACAGCCAGCTGAAGCTTCTCCCTCTCCATCTGGACAATCTGGCTGCTGCTCTCCGCCGCCTGGACACTATTCTCCAGCTTCACCTTCTCCCTGCAGGTTGGATTCAATTAAGACCCTGACAGGAAGCAACAGTGAAGCGGATTAGAGTGAGCACTGACCTGGCCAGCATGTCCCTCTCTTGTTTCAGGCGCTCTTTCTCTTTCTGGGCGGACTCCCTCTCTCTCTGAGCTGCATCCTTTTCTCGCTGCAGCACCTGGTTTCGCTGCTCCATGTCTCGTCGGGCCGAATCACATTCTGAGAGCTGCTTTCGAAGCTGTTGTAGTGAAGACTGGGCAGAGAGCAGACGACCTCTGGCATCCTGGAGGCATGATGGAGCACAACCATCAGCTTGTTTGTGTAAATAAAAAACAAAAGCTGCTAACTTATGTTCAATCTGTTTAGTTATGATTCATCCATCCGTGAACATGTATAGTCAGTCCTACTCAAGGTTTCAAGTTACTCTATTGTTAGTATCAATTTAAAAAAAAAAACATTGAACTTTAATGGCAGTAAATTATTTAGCACTAACCTTCTGGATGGTATGACACCAAACACAGAGATCGCTGAGGTGAAACATTGATAGACGTTTTTTGGTAATCAGAGGCCTTATATATAGAGCATATCTGCTCAGAAAAACATGCTAAACTCACTATGTATAAAAATACATTTTTACATGAAAGTGTGCAGCAATCCATGCAAACTCTTGACATGCCACTCAATCTACTCAAATCCAATACCCAATAAAACTACATGTGACTGTTAATTTAATTCAAAATGAAGAAAGGATCAACCCTGATGTGTTTTCATCATGTTTCATAATGAAACTGGATCTCATTTATCCCCAAACACTGTAATACACATAAAATATGATGGATATGATGATAGTCGGACATAATCTGTAAATATTATTTGTTTGGATCATGTAGATGCACATCCTTAAAATCCTTTTTTTTTTTTTCTTAAAGCTACACATTTATTGTAATAGATAAAAAAACTGGATAAAATCATGAGTTGAGTCATTTCCAAATGTAATCAGCTCTATAACTGCACTCATATCTACAAAGTGAGATCTGTTAATTTTATTTGCTATTATTAATAGAAAGCATTTTCATTTCATGCAGAAATTTATGATGCACTAATGTGTTTCAGAAGCAGCAGACTCAGGATCCCTTTAAAGAGGCTGTAATAATAATTGTTACTCTTCTAAATAATAGTTGAGTTTGCATTTTAAACCTTAAAACCTACTTCCCTTGTTTGTGTGGTGACGGTATTCCTAATAGACACTTGGGAGTCATATTTATCTATTAATAATTATTTTTTTAATCATTACAATGATCCACATTAATCAGGTAACTGAGCTCTGCTGCAGCACAGAGCCTTTTGAACTTCATGCAAACATTGTAGAATAAAACGAGCTGACAGACTTTTTATATTTAACTGTTTGCTTCAGTGAGTTGCTGATGTTGTTCAATAAGTTGTTGGTTGTAACATATTTCCCTGAGGAGTGTTTAAAAAGTCGCTGAGTGTCCTGACAGCGTCGTTGCCTTCCACAAATCAGTATGTAAAGTAGAATAAATAGCTGAAAGGCTCCCACCGTGTCAATATAACCATGGCAACAATGTTTATTACCTTTCAGTATTAAAGCCCCACACTCTTTTATGCATGAGGTCCCATGACCGGAGTTTTAATGGTTGTTCTGCTGAAACACTTCTGCACAGAAACCAGTTTTTATTTTTCCTCTCTGATCCCAAACATGCATCTCTTCTTCACACAGGTTCTCATCTCCACCTTAACTTTGATTGCCTACTAGTTGAATTATGATAAACTGGTTTCTGAAGATGTAAGCACAACAGATGCGTTTACAGCACAAGATGTAAGTAGTGCAGCTTACGCACGTTTTTATGAAAACAGAACTTTACACCAGATGCTGCAACGTCTACAGAAATGGGTTTCAGGACAGAGAACAACTTTGACAGCATAGGTAATTAAATCAGTGATATTTGGGTAAGTTATGTAGATACAAGCAGTATATTTAATGCTTTGGTCACCTAAAAGTTAGTGTCCTCACCATCCATTTCAAAATTCCACACCTTAAGTTTGTCACAACTATAAAGAATTTCTGATTGAACATACAGAATGAACAACTTTAGATTTTGTGTGTTATTTTGTAGAAAGAGGACTAAGCAGAAGGAATATCTTCTGTTGCTTGGTGAGGAACTTTGACACTGGATGTTTTTTCCTGTTTCTTTCTTGCTAAATAGGAGCGTAAACTCAATTAAACTTAGAACATCACCCTAAACTACATTTTTTTCTTAGCCTGTATCTTTAATATCAATAAATCTCTTTTTATTTGCTCAATTCTGGAGTTTTAGGAGAGTTTTATGGGGATACGTCACCTGCAGCTGCAGCGTCTTGTTGGTGACCGCTGAGCGGAGAGCAGACATAGCTGCGTCAGACAGAGAAGACAACGAGGATGCTTGAGAAGAAGCCGCCAGCTTAGAAGGAGGGGAGGAAAGTCGAGGGGAGGCGTCGCGGATCAGCGCCAGGAACGGAGCTGCAGAGCTGTCCTGATCTGCCTCCGATGATGACTCCCCGTCTGAAAGAACCGTCTGTAGAAGCAGATAGCCATGAGGCGCAGCACGATGAGAAAACTTTCATTCACAGGTGTGATAGCCTGTTTTCTACCTGAGCGATGTCCCGCAGCGTGTCCAGCAGCATCTCGGAGTGAGCTCTGACCTGCTGCGCATCAGTGTCCTCACTGCAACTCTCCTCCTGCAGAGAAAGGATAAAGGCATTCTGAAAATCCATTAGGATACTGCAGTAGCCTCTATGGCCGCTCTCCTACCTGGAGCTTCCTTGTCAAAACAGAGATTTCACCATCTCTCTCCTGAATTTGGCCTTTCAGTCTCTCACATTCTCGCACTACATCAGACAACCTGAGAGTTCAAAGAGAAAGAGGTGCTTGAAGTCGCTTGGACAAAACGTGCGCATTCCCATAGTGGGACAGAGAATCTTTTTACTGGTTTTCTGCTAATGCATGTAAACACACTACCTGATCCTCACTCACCTGAGATTCAACTCACTCCTTTCTGCATCGGCTCTGCTCTGAAGGTTCATCATCTCCACCACTCGATTCCTCAGCTGCTGCTCCAGCTCAGTCCTCAAAGCCTTCTCTCCCGCCACCCGACTGTCCACTGAGGCGGACAGGCCGGAGCAGGACACCCGAGCTGAGTGGGAGATCCGGGTCAGCTCAGAACGCATGTCTGACAAGTCCCTGAGATTGGAGACACAGAGAGAAGATCACAGCCTGGAGACACAGGGAGAGAGCAGCTTTTGCAGGAAATGTTTAGTCCATATTAGTTTGTGGACCTTTCAGTTGCACTCTTCATCTCACAGAAGTGCCTCCTGAAGCCGACCACTTGTCTCCACAGCTTCAGCAGCCGGCCGTGCTCGCTGCTGAAGTAGCTGTGGAAAGACTTCACCCAGAAACAAAAGCTATCAGAATTTAAACCCGTTTATTCAAATGCTCTTATAACTTCCCTCGTTCCACACCTCCTCTTCTCTCCTCCAGTCTGACTCCTTCTGTTCCAGCTCCTCCCGGGCTTTGGTCCAGTCAACAGTCAGCCTTCGGATGTCCTGGCTCAGGGCCTCGTTGGCCAAACCTGCCTGCTCCAACTGCTCCCTCAGCATGGCGTTCACCGCAGCCAAGCTGCTGCTCCTAAACATATTTCGAACATCCCTGATATTAATGCATTGTTGCATTGCTGGCATGTTCACTCAGAGACACATTTCTTTAAAATCCCATCTGTCACATTTCACTATGTCCCCCCCCCAGCTTTCCCAATCATGGCTAATGGTGTGGGAAATTCTTCACAGAACTCAGCCTATGACAAAAAACATGAAACACAACATATAATGTAGAAGATTGTTTAATTGCTGAAATCCTGTTTAGAGCTGCCTTTGATTGTTGAAGGTAAACGGTTAACTGAGGTATCATTGGTTTAAGGTTGTTATCCAACTGTTATTTTTGTTACTATTTGCTTTTATCATTATTCTGCTTTTATGTTCCTTCTATTGTATCTTTTCATTAATGTAATGCACTTTGAGTACTATAAAAAATAAACTTTCCTGTAGATGTACCTACAGATAGATAAGCTGGATTCAAAATTTAAAACCATAAAAAGGCACGTGATCAAACAGTAAGACAAAATTCCAGCATGAGCCTTCTAAAGAAAAGTATTGCTAATATGGTATTACACTTTTATGCACTATTTCTAAATGCTGTCAAGCTGCAACCCCAAACTATGATGCATTTTATCTGTTAAGTAAATTACGTCTAAACACTTGCGATTTAGAAACAAAATAGGTGGATTCTATTTATTTCACCCAGAAAACTAAGACCGTTTCTTCCTCTTAATCTTAAACATTTAAGCCTTAATTTCCTACTCATTGTTCTTTGTAAAATCAGTAAGTTTGCATAATCAACACCTTTCGTTTATAATTAAACAGATTTAGGTCTGGAACAATCAGACGCATAAAAGTGTTGTGATCTAAACCCTTTTATTATCTTAAACGTTAGTCAGATGGTTAATACTTCAGGCATGCCTCGTATTTATCTACAGAAAGAGAAATCATCCCTTCATATTGATGCTGCCTTCATAATGTTGTGCTGTTAAAGTTGTTTTCCTTCATGCATTTCTTTTAGCTTGCAGTTCAGAAAGCAAATATTTGGTCTTCTATAACCAAAGCACCTCAATGCATAGTATTCCTGTTCCCATGTTCCTTGAAGCAGCCAATGTTGGCCTTCTACCTGCCCTTCTTTCAGAAACATATGTGAATCTTAGCCCTGCCTCTGCACATTCATATGAATGATTTACTCAGGTGTGACGATGCATCACCTCTGCTGTTCTTCTTCCAGCCGGATTAAAGCTTCCTCCAGGTTGTTGCTCGCCTCATCCCGATGCCGACCGTTTGAGGTTTCTCCCTGAAATAAAGGATTTTATAAGAAAACAACAGTGTGGATGGAAAACAGCTTCAGTGCATAGATGCGAAGGCCACCTACACAGATACTGTGTTTCTCCAGCTCGGAGGATTTCTCCTGAAGCATCTGTTCGAGATCTCCGCATTTCTTTTTGTACTGAAGCACCTAAAGGAGAAGAGGAACGGTCACCAGTCTTCTTTAGCGTGGATACTTCCCAGTTAAACCAGGTCTACCTTCGCTTGCAGCTTCTGCACAAGCTGGGCCTGCCTCTGCTGCCCCTCCTGATAAGCTGTGAGTTTACGCTTGTAGGCCGCCTGTTCTTCGTCCAGACGCCGCCGCAGATCCACGTTCTGCTGAGCAAGGCTGCGGGACTCCGGGGAGTCGTGGTCGCCCTCTCCTGTTTCGAACCGCAGCGCCTGCTCCAGCTAAAGGAGAGAGACAGCTCAATAATACTGAATCCACTTTGCTCTGCACTCTTCTGACAAGAGAAAGCTGTCAGCTTTAAATAGAAAGCAGAAGTTTCTGATCTTTTAAATGAACTTTAAAGGTGGTTACATGCACTTTATGTGGATCTGGTTTATCTATTTCACACCTCATCTATTCCACACATCATGGTTGCCATTTTGTTGGTTTTGACTGGGGTTTAGTTGTTGTCAGGTTTGTGCAAATAAGAAGTAATGCATCGCATCTAAAGTGGAAGATCAAAATATCATCGTTGGACACAGGAGAAAAAAAAAAATACAAAAAAGAACTGACTGAGAAGATATCAATTATGAGAATGACTTTTATGCATTAACAAAGAAAAACAAGAATTTAGATTTTTCTTTCACCAAAGGAGGAAAAACATCAGAAAGGCTGAAATATATCAGTGTGCAACCTTAGCAAGAAGCATATGACCCAACCATGTACACTGCCACCTTGATATGGAAGGAGTTTTGTTACCCATCCTCTAGAAGATGCCGGCACTCTTGCTTAACCATGGTCATCCATGGTTAAGCAAGAGTTTACCCAACATGGCCTGAGAGGGTGGTGAAGTAATGCTCAAATATAACCATTCTTCTGGAGAAAGGTTAAGGGTCAGCTTGAACGATCATTACGGTAGCTGGTTATTCCTCCAGTCTAAGAAGGTTGTGTGAGCTGTTAAGTATTGTGGGGTTCCTAAGGAAGTACGACTGACTTTAAGCTTTTGATCTTCATGTTAAAAATATTTAGATGGTTGTTAAATGTTTCCAAAGACACATCAGAGATGAGGTTTGGAACAGAAAAGATAATTTTTAAAATGTATGAACTATGCCTGAAAGCTGGGTGTATGCCAGAAAACCAAAATAACCAAAATAACCTGTTCCATTTCTGTCTGGAGTAATGATTGAATATGCAAAAGAAAATGACAAAACCATGACTTAGCCACAATAATATTATTCTTTGTCTGTTTTTTGGTGTTGTGCTTTTGCTGCAACCTGTTATGTGACGTGAAACCACATATTTTCATGTTCACCTCTATAATTAATCGAAAATAAATTCACCTATTTCTATCTTCATTTTCTATTCCTGCAACTAAATTGTGTATAATTTTTCAATGCATCTTTAAGGTTGAGGTTGTTTATGTTCACAGCTTGTTTAAAAAGTGCAGATCAGCCTTTGAGAACAGGTTTATGTGATGATGTCTGCTAATGTTCACCCCAAACGAGTCATGAAGCCACCCACCCATCAGCACACCCCTCCTACAACTGTGAAGCCCCTGTTTACGGTCACCCAGGGCGACAGACGCTATGGCAACATTCCACTTCACTTCATTCCAGCCCCCATCACCTGGGAGACCCACAAATCTGAGACAAAGACAAACCAGGATGATAAAAAAAAATGGGGGAAGTGGAGAGAGGGGGGTGGGGGTCGGGGGTAGAGGAAGGACATTCTTCTTGATGCCTGCTGAGACCAAAAACACCTGGAGGGTTTCTAAATAATCTGATTTCTAGTTCACTTTTTCAGCCTCGGCCCGACAAATGAGCTGGTTTTTTGCCCTCACCCTCTCGCTGATGGCTCCGTACTTGATGGCGAGCTCGTCCCGATCGGCTCTGCTGTGGGCCAGCAGGTCCTCCAGTCTGGCCAGCTCTCCCTGCAGCACCCTGTTCTCCTCCTGAAGGGACATGACGGAGGACATGGCTCCAGCTGCACACGGAGGGATAAAGGGCAGCCATCAGGGCAGAGGAAATAGAGGATTTGATGGTTAGATTAATGATGGACAGTCCACTCACTATCATTGAGGTTCTTGGTGACTATCTCTCGAACTCTTGCTGGCAGACATGTAGGGGGGGCGTCAGGTGAGGGGCCCCGGATGGTCAGCCTCTTCTCCTCAGACAGGACGCTCTCCCCCAGCCGCTGATGTACACAACACACAGATATAGATGAAAGAGGAAGACGCAGTGTAGCTAACATAAAGGTGATGATGATGGGATCGCCACAGCTACGCAGCCCCAAACACAAACATGCAGAACGAGCAGCTTTAGTTGTCACAACCTGTCAGCACATAATGAAACCACTGATCCAGGAGCCCTGCTGAGCCTCACCTGTATCACTGACTCCAGCTTGTTGGAGTCAGGGTCAGAGTTTTCCTCAGCGCTCATGGTTGCTATTTTAAATCCAAGAAAATAGGATTAACTCAGGCAAAGATTTATAATTTTCCCAAATTGAACATTGATCCTTCCTTTCTTTCCTTTCCAGCGGACGCAGAAAAAGGAGAAAAGTTTGCCTCTTTAATCTGATTAGACTTCTTTCCAGGCAGACAAGGTTTTTGGCAGGAGAGGAGGTGAGCGCGTCAGTCCTGTCCCTTCCTCAGGGACTCTCAGCCAGAGATTGAGGACAGCAGGATTAGCAGGCTTTACCCCCCCCCCCCCTTCCTCCTCCTCCTCCTCCTCTTCCTCCTCCTCCTCCTCCTTACTCTTACCATGCACTTGATCATTGCATTTTAAATGCCTACACACACTACTACTACTAAGCTACACAACAACTGCAGTAGGAGAGAAGATATCTTAGCAAAGGCTAAACAGGTCATCCTTGAAGTTTTATACCCATAAATACATGGAAATATGTTATTTAGGGAAGAACAAAATGGCACAACTAAGTACCAAAATGTATTTGAAAGACAAACCCCTCCATGATAAGCCCTGCTGTCATTAATAGACCAATAGGAAATTCATGTTAATCTTTAACAAGCTACAGACTGATTATACGTTGCCTTGCAGAAGTAGTAACATCAGTAAAACCACACATTTTAAGTTTTTTATTGGGTTTGATGTGACAGCCTGAAAAAAAAAAGTACACTGCAAAAATTATCTAGAAATAAGTAAACATTTCTTTAATTAAGTGTATTTACCCTTAAATGAGTAGATAGATACAATGATATGCCAATGTAGAGTATTTTACTCTTAAAATAAGATACTCAGATAATATGCATTTGAAATAAGACAATGCAATTGTTTTTTCTTATTTTAAATATAAATAGTCTTATTCCATTGGCAAAGGGTCTCTTACCTCCTCAATTCACAACAAAATGCATTGATTTTAAGAAAAACTAATTATTAATATTTCAATTGTTTGCAGTGTAGATAGTTGAGAAATAGAAGTTATGTTTTTGTTTGCTTGATTTTGTATTTTTTTTACAAGTGAAATTCTGAAAAGTGTGGTGTGTATTTATATTTTGTCCCACTGAGACTACACTAGGACTGGGCAAATATTTGCATTTGCGCTATAATCGCAATTTTGCCAAATTCTATTTTACAGTAGCAGTGCAGATGCACCCAAATCTAGTCACAATACATTTAAAAGGAGTAAGACAGTAAATTTCTTCCTCCAACCTTTTAGGTGGCAGTAACACATTTAAACTTAGTATGCCGCGACACTGCAGGGAAGACCTTGCAGCTAGCACCCAGATCCATGTATGATAATAGAAGTAAGAACCTTTTTACGCAAAGGTCACAATTCGCATTTGCAATATTGCAAAATTGCATTTGCAATATTGATTGAAAAAAAAAAAATTAAGATTTTTGGCAAAATCGTTCAGCCCTAGATAATACTTTGTAAATTTACCTTTGTGTCATTCATTAAAAGTTTTTGTGGCACTAGTGGGCTTTATTTTGTAGTGTTCAGATAGGAAATATGTGGAGAAAGAAAGAAAGAAGACTTGAAGCAAAGGTTAAACGAGTACTCAAAGCCGAGACAGATCCGTTGAGGACTAGTAAGCCCTTGTAGAACCACCTACTAGCTTTGCACATCCACAGCATAATTTTTTTCTTAATTCGTCTTATAAGCATGCCTTAGCTCCATCAGGTTTTAGATTCCTGCCTTCACTTTCACCAAGACACTTCAGCAAGAATTTAGCTTATAGATGTGATCTGATCTAAGCTTTGGTTGTGTGCTATATAGCATTTTATTAGGTCAGAGGACCCCAAAGCATTTTAAATTACATTCAGTTATTCCCACACTAATAGTGGAAAGCTACATTGTAGCCACAGCTGCCCTGGGGCAGACTGATATAAGCAAGGCAAGGAGGGAAGGTGGGTGAAGTGCCTTCCCCATAGACAGAAACTGGAGGAGTGGGGGAGACCTACTGGTTACAGGATGAACGCCTACCTCTTGAACATCTGTCACACATCAAGGGTGAAACTGTGCCCCATTTTCAAGTCTTTGAATCCGCTAACAGGCTTTTTATTTACAGGATTGCTCAGTATTTAGATCCATCCATCTTCCAATCAGCTCTGACCAGTTTTCCTGGACCTGTAAAATAATTGCATCCCCACCCGATCTTCAAACTGTCTGCATGTATCAAAGAAACGTATGAATGTGTCTGCACCCACACACCTGATCTTCCAGCCAGGTGAAAATCAATTCTTCTTTTGCAAGCAAACTTTATGGTGACAGCTTTTCAAGGTTTTATAACACATATTAAGTTTTCACTGCAGTTTGTAGCACTTTGTGGTACTTATGTAAAGTGCCTTATAAATAACATTCTTCTTATTGTTATTATTATCATCAATGCTATTAAAATTTTGATTTCCGATCTTTCGGTTTTGAGCACTGACTGATGCAATATATCAGCACAAATCATACATTCTTAATTCATAGTACCGGTACTCTAACATAGAAACACAATTAGCAACATATTTAAGAACAAATGACCCATTTGTTATCAACCATTACATGAACTGCAGACTTGGACAGAAGGGGAGTGTTTCTATCAGTACGCTGATATCAGTTTAGATGCTGCCCAATAGGCTTTTTTGGCTGATATCAGACTGGCTTCTGATATGAATATTGGATCGGAACATCCCTTCTTGGTATTATTAAACTTCATGGCTTACAAAGTCATCTTTCTTTTACAGACATTCTCAAACTGCCAGTAAGACACAACATGTGCTCATTTTAAAGAGTGAACAGAACCTGTTTGCACGTCTTTGTGCTCTCTTTATAAATCTGTATAAATCACCCACAACACACCCATTTATTATTCCCCCCCCCCCACGTATTTTAGTGCTTATTCATATTTTTTTAAGATAAGCCCCATAGTGGTTTCAACATAGACTAAAGCCTTGTCTTTTACATCTTTTCTTTTAACCATGGCTTTCTTCCTATCAATATTCCATAAAAGCTCTAATGAATGGTCCAAATCTGACTTTTAAGCCACATGCAATAAAAACGCGTCAAACTTTTCATCATCTTACTTTGACACACCATCCCCCAAGTGACACATGGTGGATGATTTTTATGGGGATGCATTTCTTCAAATGGACAAGGAAGCTTATCATAGTTAAATGGAAGAATTAATGGATGGGGCAAAAACAGGGCATAAACTTACATTAAACCTGTTAGAGGCTGCAATGTCTTGACACTGAGGGTAGTTCACGTTCCAGCAGGACAACACTCCTAAACAAATGTTATCATTTTATATGTTCTCTATTCAATCTGACCGAGAAAATGGAAAGAGGATGTGCAAACATAATAGAAAGCTACCCCAAAAACTCTGTGTTGTCATAATATTATAATCCATAACAAGGTCTTGCTTTATAGATATGACAAAATGTGAAATGTGGTTTTAAAAGTTTATGTTGCTCTTATTAGTTTGGTTAAACCAGTCATTTCACTGCCTCAGAACGGAAAGATGACAAGCATTAAACACAAGGAGAGGTTACCCTGTGATGGTAACAGGACTGTCATAGTTACACACAACAGGGTCAATGTGTTAAAACAAGACACCCCCCACACTGCTTTAACTGCTTACACACTCATCCGTCCTGAAGGTCATATTAGATAGACTTCCATTCAGTTTCTACTCTTTCTACATTCTAACCTTTAATCTTACCTTAAACCTAACCCTTACTGGTACATACCTCCCCCTAACCTAAAGCTAAATCCCATCTTAGTCTTAAACCTAAGCCTAGAACGTGAAGACTAGTAAAAGGTCATCACTTTACTTCAAAGTTCTTTCTTTATAGGTAAAATGCACCAAAAAATTTCTTTGATTCTGTGCAACACACACACACGTACAAACATAATATTTTTAAGTACAACTCTAAAAGATGTTTTCCAAGTGTTTTATAGTAACCAATGCAGTAAACTGATTTGTTGAAATCACTTTTGTACAGGCAAGAAACTTAAACTACTTAAAGTTTGCAAAGTGGGATTGAGACATTGTTGGTGTGATGTGCAAAAGCTGATAAATGGGTCAACAGACACAAAAGAATAAACATGAGTTTCTTTTGGGGGGATTTGTTTATATCAATCTAAGGAACTGCTGGCCAAAAGTTCAATTATTATCTGCTTAAGTCAGCTGCCCCCTGGTGGTCAATTTATCACATTGCAGGTGTGACTTAAATTAAAGCTTTTTGATAAAAGAGGAATATTTATAAATATTTCTAGCTAAAGCCAAACTGCGTATTATTTTTTTGTATTATAAAAAAACAACTTAAAACTAGTAAAGTTGATCTGCTTCCTCTTTATTTCATATGTGTTGCTCCCATAAAAAGGAACCCAACCAGCTTCCTAGTGATTCACCATCAACATCCTCTTTATTTTAAAAGCCAAAAAGCAAACAGAAGCACTAAAAAACACACCCCTACCCACATACGCCCAAGTTTTCAAAAGCATAGAGGAGTTGGAGGCGGAGCGAAGAGGCTGCAACAATCAGAGCCAATCCGGCTTTCTGTTCTTTTTATTAATAAATTATTAATGCATTATTTTTCAGTTATAACGCCTGAAAAACAGACTGTTAAGGCAGCATCGGTATAAATAGATGCATGAAGAAGCATCGCGCATCTTCATCATGTTTTGCAGCAGATCTCCTCCACTTCCCTCTCTGATAAACAGCCTCACCTACTCTGATCAAGCTGCTGCTCTGTCCTCCGTTAGTCTCCTCTGTAGACCATATGTAGAGATAACAGTCCCGATCCAGAGCCGGCAGGAGGAGAGGAGGACCATCCGTTACGCGCTGGAGCTGCTTCTGGTTCCGAAATCCTCTCCATGCTTTTTCCGGGGAGGGACTTCCAGCTCCCCCCGCCTCATGGGCTGCTGCTGGATGCCGCTACATATCTGCAAATCTCTGTAAATGGAGAGGTCCTACTCCTTGTTTTGAACGCTTTCTTAATCAGTTTAAATTGTATTACTCCTCATTGAAAATTTTGAAATCTGTTTCTGCCAAAAATAAAACGTTACTGCCAGTATTTCTACTTTTCTTTTGTTTTGAATCTTGCTTTATTTTTATTTATTGGCCTTATTGTTTATGTATCTGTTGTTTTGTTTTTAGCCCCATGTTTCTGTCTTTTTTTTCTCTACCGACGTTGAAATGTCTGTAACTCAACGAGACTTTAGTACACTATTGGTTTGTTATTTAAATAATAAAAAAAAAACATATGTGCAAATCTTTACCAATATCTTAAAAACACTTATTTGTTATTAAATATCGTTCTTTTAGATGTATTGGTCTATTATGATCCTTTCGGTTAAGTTTCTCGTTGATCTAACTTACTTTTTATTTAGCTGCAGAGGTGGGTACTAATTACTTAAATACATTAACTTGTGTACTTTTATGGGGAAAAATAGATTTTATTTTTATATATTTTTTAGTTTAACTGTACTTTCCACTTCAGTAGAGATATGAAGTGGTAGTGCTATTTAAAGAAAGAAGATTGGGTTATTTCTTGTCCTTGCACTGATTTAGACAAGTACTCCCTCTGAAAAAGAAAATTTACATTGATGTACCAACTACCAGTTTTAGTCTGTGAGGCAGACACCCTGTCTGCTTTTAAGGCTAGGCTTAAAACTTTCCTTTTTGATAAAGCTTATAGTTAGAGTGGCTCAGGTTATCCTGAGCTATCTCTGTTGTTATGCTGCTATAGGACATAGGGACCCCTATTTCATCATTCTGCTTCATTCTGTCTCTATCATCCCACTCTGCACAATCTATTACCGGTAGTTCAATCTCTAACGTTCTGCTCTCTCTGCTTTTTCTCATATTAGCTTCACCTCGTCTGTTCCTGTTTGGCAGTGACACCATCCTGGAGATAAAATATCTGCTGTGCTGCTGCCATCAACACCTTTGTTTATAGATTTTGGTGATCAGCCTATTTTCCAGTGTAGTCCTGTTTCTCTGACTTTGAATGGTTGGATGTACTCTCTTCATCCTCTGACATGGGAGCTGGTTCAGAGCTCGTCTTCCTGGCTGTGTGTTTCCTGTTTTTGTATCTCTGCTTCTGTCTCCTTGTACCCCAGTTGGTCGCTTACACTGAGCCTGGTTCTGCTGGAGCTTTCCTCTCCACTGTCACTACAAGCATGCTTAGTGTGAGGGATTGCATTCGAATCAATGAGTCGATGCAATCAGCTGGGTTAACTCAGATGCTTGTTGCGTTTTCAATACGGTTTCTGGCACACAGCACTACTTACAGTTCTTTTAACAATGGCTTTCCTGTTGCCACTCTACCATGAAGACCACATTAGTCTTGTGAACAGATTCCATCACCTAACCTGTAGATCTCTGCAGTTTATCCAGAGACACCATGTGTAACTTTGAGTTGGTCTTGGTAGGTTTGCAGTTGTACCATCCTCTATTTCCATATACACTAAACAGCGCTCTGCAAGACGTTTAAAGCTAAGAGAATCTTTTTAAAGCTTGCTTTAAAGTTCTCCACAACTTTATCGCTGACCTGTGTGGTTTGTTCCCAGATTTTTCTCCACAAATCAGATAATTGTAATGAGATTAGATTACACACAGTTGGACTCTAGTTAAGACGAATCATCCGGCAACTTCTGAAGGCAAGTGGCTGCAAACAAAACAATAAAAACATTAAACAAATCAGGCAAACCACGCTTTTAGATTTTTATTTGTAAAAAAAAAAAAAGTTTTAAATCATGTACATTTTTTTGTATTTCACTGTAATATACCAGTTTGTTTGGTTCTTCACAGAAGACCCAGATAAAATATGCCAGATTAATGTTTGTGGTTGTAGTTTAGCAAAATGTGAACTTAAACAGGGTGTGATTGCTTTCGCAGGCTACTGTGCATGAAAGGACGGAGAAAAAGAAGAGGAAGAAAGGCCACATTAAGACTGTCTTTTAATAAAAATACCTTCTTATTCCCGTTTTTATTTTGAGACTTTCCCAGCAAACTGAACACACCCTGCAGCTGTAACGATCGTCACACAGAGCTCATCCCTCTAAAAAGGCGCAATACAGCAACCATCAAAAGGACACCGACAAAACAAGTGAAATATACAGTTTATTTACATTTTACACATACTTTAGGTCTATTTCCAGGAAGGCACTTCATACTTGGGAAGAAAGAAAAGAAGATTTGATGTTGGGTAAAAAGGCACATTCCAGAAAGGATAAAGATAAACGAGACATTTGGAAGAAGAAATGAACAAGAAATGACAAAACTAAAAACAAAAACATAGAGAATCACTTCTTACCCCCAAAGATGATTTAAACAAAACAGATTATATTCAACCTAAAGCTGATTATCAAATATTAAGAGATCCTTATGATCTTCTAAAACAAGGAGCAAATAAAAACTATTGAATAAACAAGAACAGAAGCTGTTTTACAGCTGAATGAAAATGGGAAACTTCAACTATCTCCCAATAAACGCTTTGAGATGAATGATGGTTGTGAGGCGAGATCCCTTTGGGAGTGATCGATGAACATAGATGTTTTAAAGACAGGTGGTGAAATCTGACTGTGAGGAGATCATCGGTGAAACGATGACAAAAGGATAAGAAAGCTCCAGGAACAATTCAATAAAGGAAGAGAACAAATACCTTTCACTGTTAGTGTGAGGAGACAAATTTCCCTTGTTTTTAAAAAGTGATCTACTGCATAGCAGAGTAAAGAGGCTGTAAAAATCTCCAACTTTGTTCCTTTAGAGTGTGTTGGTCAGCAGGCTGTCCTGCATCCGAACTGAGAAAGCTCAGCAAGGAAACAGTGAAAACGCCAAAACACCTGCTTCTTTACATCAACAATCGTCCTGTCTGCAGGAATGTAAGGAACCTGAGAGGGGCCTTTTGGTTCTTACAGCTCAACTGAACTGGACCCATCCTGATTTGGAGTCGTCTTTGTTGGAGCTGTGGGGGGGTAGGAGATGAAAGCGATGATGGAAAACAGAAAATGAGATGTGATGGAACAGACGTGATTTAAAAAGAACAAAACAGACACATACTTGGATCCAGCAGATGTGAAATCCCCCCACATATCGGAGCTGGGCTGGGCTGCAGGGACAGGAGAGCCGAGGTCTAACAGAGGAGCTGAACAAGTCAGGAGAAATTCTGTTGACTTCATATACTCTAATGTTTCCGGGATAATGATGCATTTGAAGAATGAGTTGGTTACCAGCGTTGGGCTGTGCAGCCGGAGCAGTCTGCAGCCCTTCAGGTGGTGGCAGGAAACCTCCTGGTTTTCCTCCTGGAGGAGGAGGAAGCAGACCCCCACCCACAGCTCGAGGTTTGGCACCGCCGGCTTCCTTCTTCTTAATGTTCTGAAGAGGAGGTCAGATCAGCTTCAACATCTTAAGATTTTTAATCTGGAGATTCTTGATTATCTGTATTCTCACTCCGATGCTGATCTTGATGGTCTGTCCCTCTTTGAAGCTCAGGTCTAGTTTAGGCGCTGAACTCTGAGAAGCCTCCAGTTTAGCCAGATCCCCTTCCTGTTTGACCCACCTAGAAAGAATCGGTGCCAAAGAAACAATTAAGGCGCTACAGGAGACAACTGAAAAAACATATTTTATGTTTTCAAAGCTTTAGTGATGAAATCAAAAAATATATTTTAACATCTATTTAGCAATACTGCAGAAAGCAAGAATATTCATACATACACACACACACATATTGTTTACACATATTGTCACAGTCTTGGTTCTTTTGAGTATTCAGTTTTACTTTGCTCCATGTTTTCTATTTTTATTGATTCAATTCCTATTTTGTTGTGTTTTCTGGATATATTATAGTTCTTAGGTTTTTATGGGTTGCCCTCTTGTTGCGGTATCCTTTTCCCTAGCTCCTTTCTAGACTGCTCTCTTCACACCTGCTCCCAATCAGCTCGTTAGTCCTCTCTTTGTTCAGTCTCCCATAAATACACTCCTTATGCAGTTCCTTAGTGCTGGTTCCTCATCTTTCCCTGGCTCCTCATGATTGTTTTCACCTGATGTCTCCATGGTTCTGGTTTGTATTACATTTTAAGTTGGATTTTGGATTCCTGCCTCTGTTAACTGTTATCACTAATCAAAACTGCAAGAACTCACCTCTGCCTCCGGGTCCTCAAAACGACAACCTAACCCTGACATACGTGTGTGTGTGTGTGTATATATATATATATATAATTTTCATTTACCCAAAACGTTCACTCATTGAACAACAAAACAATCTAGGAGAAATATCAATTCTGAGAAAATAAAGTTGTTTTTTTCTTTCCCTTCATACTTAGAAAAGAAGGAAATTATTTATGCCCTTCTCCATAATGACTAGAAGACTTTTATTGTTGCTACCACAATCTAATTCTTTTCAACAGAGCTTGAATTTAAAGGTATAGTGGAGGATTTTCATGAATTTTTAAAAAGACTGGAGGCCCTCTTTGCCATTATCCTTTTCTTTAGTTAACTAATTATTATATCCAATTAAACCCAAATCTGACAGGGGTATGAATAAATTTAGGCTTGACTCTGGTAATCTCGCCTTACTTAAAGTGGTCCTGTATAGCCACATTAAAGTCAAACGAGTCTCCACGATCAGCGAATCCCAGACCGATGAAAGCATGACGTCCTTGTGAAAAAAAGAAAAGAGGAAAAAAAATCTATAGCATATATTTCTTTGTATTTTTTCCAAAATCAAAATGAGAATCTAGAGGGAAATGTTCTTACCTGTTCCGTCCTCTATCCGTATTACAAAGTACCTGCTGGAGTCTGTGACTGCCTCCACTGCCGATCCTGGATACTGCTCAACTGGAGCCTGAGCATACAGCTCTCCTGCAGAGAACCAGTCACACCAAACAGCTGTGGGGTTATTTCAGGTTGCAGGGAGTAAACAGATAAAAACGACAGATAAATGCAGTAATGTATGAACATGCCTCTGAAAACAGAAAGTAAAGCTGCTTTGAAAAACACTGATGTGGACTGTTACCTAATTACAGCACGTCATGCCACCTTCCACTGCTATTACAGCGAGGTACATCATTTGTGGTTTGTTTCAGATGTGTGTCAGACCAGATACAAATCTAGCTACAGATTCTCAACAAGATCTAGACCAGGACTTTGACCTGGCCATTTTAACATGGATAACGAATACACTGTGATCTGAACCATTTCAGGAGTGCATGTTTAGACACATTATGCATGTCTCATATTTTTGGCAGCCTCTAACAGGATTTCTTTGCCGACAGTCTTTTTAGCCCCATCCCTTTAAGTCTGGGCAGCTTTCCTGTCTATGTCAGAGAAAATCTTCCACACTACAGTGTTTTACATGACATCAACAGGTTTGAATACCTTTTAATTGTAATTAATCGATTATTGAAATAATCGTCAACTAATTCGGTCACTGATTAATCGTTAACTAGAGTATAGAGACTGCAAAACGTGTCTTTAACTAATAGAGCAACCAAATCAGAGCAGTAATTATACCAAAATTGTAAAAAAAAAAATATATAAACATTTTGCATCCCAGTTTACTAATGATTTTGTTTGTCAATATGCTCCATCTAGAACTCCTCAAGTGGAAAAGTTTTAGTTTCACCTGGTTTAATTTGTAGATAATCTTCTTTAAAGAATCTTTGGTTATCAGATAATTAATCAAAAAAAGATTAACAGATAATTCGATTTGCAAAATAATTGTTAGTTGCAGCCCTAATATCTTTTATCAAAGTCCTCTGTATGGATCTCAGTGACCGACTCTGTCTTAATTCACATATTTATAAGACAGTTACTCCTGCATCCAGATACTAACGTGGCATAAACCTAGCCTTCTTATCTGCAGCTCAACTGAAATATTCTAGTCAGTGCGTTGGTAAAGTTTTTCCTGTCTGGGATTTATTTTCAGATGCATTCGGACTGACTGAGTCCGTGTCTTACATTCTTGTTGAAATCACAGCTTTATTTTGATGGGAAATTAATCTAAAATTTGCAAGATTAGGAAAAAGAGAAATTTTCAACACCCTAAATCAATCATGACTGGTCTATTGTAAAAATAAAGCAAAGATGTAGGTCCTTTCTAATGAGGTGCCATCATTTAAAAAGAGTTTTTACCCGTGTTTCTGTCCTCCAACTTGATAAAGGCCTTCTTGCCTTTAGCTGTGATTTTCAGCCTTCCGCTCCATGCTGGCTCATCCAGCTTCCAGTCAGCAGCACTGAAATTAACAGCAAAGAAACAAAAAAACAGGAAGAACAAAGGAAAGTGGTTTGTGTGATCCTTATTTATCCAGAACATGTGACTCAGCGTCTGTTTCAGTTTACTTGTTCACATCAGAAGGAAGTGAAATCCTGTAAGAAGGGTTAAGTTAAAAGAGAACGGTACTATTTTTAACAGTTAGAGAATGGATTATATATGATATATTCATAACAGCCACATCACATATCAATCTATTGGTTCATTTAAAAGCACCTCCGTGGCTGATAATGACTGCAGCAAATTGCCTGTAGGTCCTTATCTAACACTGCATACTATAAATGCCTCTCAAATGAAGTCATTAAAGTTTTACAATGGATCAGAGCTTTAACATCACTATGGCTATGTATGAATGTAAACCATTCCATTCAAATTCAACACAGGTCTCTGGATGCCTCTGTCAGGTTTCACTATCCTGGTTTTGGCTGTAAAGTTCTTCACGTCAAACCTGACCAGCTTTCCTGACCCTGTCAAAAACACCACAGCCTTTAGCATGAAGCTGCCACTGCCATGAAACACATTAGAAAGGGAATGCATGTACTGATATGTGTGATGAGCTTTCCATCACACATAGGATCTCAACTCAAGAGAAAAAACATGTCTCAGTAGTTGTGCCATAATCTCCACAACTTTAATCTGTGATTAACACCTTTTGTTTACTAATATTCTGTAAGAAACTGTTAGAATCTTAACTGGACATAAATATTAAAGTAAAAATGCTGTATATAAATTGATAAAACAATTAAAATTTTCTTTTTTTCATGAAACAAAATGATAACCACATCATCATTCCTTTGACTCCAAAACTACAAGCCGATTTGACTCAAACAAATTGAGTGCTTTTAAAAAGAGCTGTATTTTAATAAATTAACAAAAGTTATGACTGATTGACTTTGTTGATCTCACAGGGGAGAAATGTACTTGTTAAATCAGCTCAAATAGTAAAAAAAAAAATAGAAGAAGGTGCCAAAGGAAGAAAAAAGGAGCACGGGATATATACATTTCATCCACATATGACAGCTTTTTTGTTTTTATAGCAGGATTTTTATACAGGGTTATTGCACAGGGTGTTTACATGGGTGTGTATATATATATATATATATATATATATATATATATATATATATATATATATATATATATATATATATAGTTACTGCACTGTATTATTCTTTGGTGCTTTAAATAAAGCTAATGACATTCTTTAGTCCTAAGAGAAAGAAAAAAATACAATGAAAGTAAAAGTTAAGTTTATAACAATGTTTTATCCAAACTTTAGATGTAGTTATCAGTAAATGAGCCAAGTTAGTTTAAAGGAAAGCTCAGTTTTAAAGAAAAACACCTGAATAAACAACTTCCGCTGAAACAGAACCAAAGAAAAAAATATAATGCATTTTCGAAGTTAAAAAGTAAAGAGTAACTACTGTAAAAAAAAAAAAAAAAAAAAAAAAAAAAAAAAAGGCTAAGGATGTTGGTGTCACATTTCCGTAAACTACCGTTTTTAACTTTACTCTCCATTTGGCGGCTGGTTTAGCGGAAACGTCCAAATATTTTTAATTCTCTTTATAAATTATAAACATAAACTAACAACGAATACAGCTAGCACGTATCATGTTTAAAGTAAATCTAGAGAACAGAAAAAAAACATACTTCTGAATTGTGCTGACAGCTCAGTTGTCCGATAATGGAAACATGAATAATAGATTAGCTTGCTGAGCAGCAATTTCGACACTTTCTTACCGATATCCACGGTTGGAAGCCCGCGGTGGGATTCGGTAAACATGGACCTCCGGCTTCACGCATAGCATCGACTCATAAGTGTTGTCCTCTGCCATTTTGTAAAGTTTCACTAAACCAAAAGACAACTTCCGACTTTCAATGGACGAACAACACCTCACTCTGCCGCTGATAGTCGGCTGACTCGGAGCTGTATCCAAACACCGCCCCCTTCTGGTCAGGAGTGGAGGGGCAGAAGGGGGAGGAGCTGTATCCAAACACCGCCCCCTGGTGGTCGGGAGTGAAAGAGCAGGGACAGGAGCAAATAGTGGCTGAGGTAACTTGGAAAACAGCCATACCTATTCAAGGTAAAACATCCACTAGTTAAATATGGTTCATTCTATTAGAAATAGTTCATACATTATTCAGAATAAAAAATAGGGGTTTGATTGTTTTGCAAAGAAGGCAATTCAAAATCCTATTAGTTTTACAGTTAAAACAAGTAAATCAGAGGGAAAGAGTATTATTAAAGAAAAACTGATGGGTAAATGGCAAAAAAGGTGGGATGAAGAAAAAACAGGAAGATGGTTTTATAAAATTCAGAGGATAGTAGGAAAAAGAAGAAATGGAAGAGGAAACAGAAATGAGGAGAGAATGATAAGGTTAAGATTTGGGCATAAAGGACTTAAACACTTTTTAAAATTCAAAAACATACTACTGGCAAATATGATTACTGTGGAAAATATGAAACAATAGAACATGTTATACTGGAATGTCATAAATTAGAAAGCGAGAGAAGATATATGAGGAGAAAGTTTAAAAGGAAAGGAAAAGATTAATTTATTTGATATTTTGAGGAAGAATTTGGGGAGTAAACAAATAAAAATAATTATTTGACTTTTAAAGAAAACTAAATTTTCTCATAGAATTTGATTATAGAGAGGGTAATTGTGCGTATGATATAGATAGAATACAAAGTTATGTATAAGTGTGTATTTTTTTTTTCCCTTAGAAATTACATTTATGTTTATCATGTAGATAGTCCATCACGAACCACACTCACATACTCCATTTTTGCCAACCACCAATAAATCCAAGAGGAAGAAGAAGTTAAATTCCACCTAACATTTTTTTTCATTGTAAATTGATTGAATGTTTTTAAATGGCAGAAATGCTTCAGATTACACCTGATTTATAAATGTCACTTCTTATAATTCAGGTTGATCGATCAATCAGAGTAAGTCTGAGACTGCAGTAGTCATTCAAAGTAGGACTTAAAAGTGCCCATTAAAGTGGGGCCTGGATTATTGGATAAACAGTAATTGGTCTGCTTGTTTGTTTTGTCATCTCCGACTGTTGTGGGATTTCTGTTTTTGTGCTCGTACTGCAAAAAGCCTTTTGATGATGGTTTGGAAAACCTGTAGCTCTACCATAAGCTCATAATAGTAGACACCCAGACAGACACCTGGCCTTTTGCAGACATGTCACACTCGAACCCAACAGACCTTTATTGTGAAATTACATGGAGCTGAAAAATATTTTCAGCTCACAGAGGCTTATCTTAGCCATCTATTAAACAACGAGACATTTCTCTCTTTTTGATCCTCTGATGAAATCATGGGTCCCTTAAAACCAAGGATAGATGCTTTCAATGGTGTTTTATTCTCAGTATTTATAAAGCTCCAGTCAGCTTTGTTTCCTCTTGCCAGTAAGCACCTTCCGCATTGAACCAGAACCCAGCATTTGCATTGACACTATTTTTTATAAGTTCCAAGAACAGGAACAACTGCAGTCCAGTGTCTTTGTCAGTGGTAACCAGCAGGCGCCTCAGTCAGTACAAAACCTTCAGGTTTGGTCACACAGATGTGATGACATCCCCCATCCCTGAGAGAACTGGACATTCAGAACCACATATCCAACCATCTAGACTGGTTGATTGCGAAAAGCCACAAGGCAGAGGCTAAGTACAGCTGATCTAAAAGATCTTCCTCCCTTTAAAATCTCCTTTTTATGAAACAGGTTCAAAACCCTTCAGCTCACTTTTCTGAGAAAAAAAAAAAGTTAAATATCTAACCAACTACAGATACTATTTAACATTACTTCATGCCAGAATTTCTTCTTTATTTTACATTCTTGTCTTAATTGGTGAAATGTATTGATTGTATGACTAACATTATTTATATATGTGACAAATTCCAATGTAATCCTGCAGTTTCTATTCCCTATATGCTTATATAAGCAAAAAAAAAAAAAAAAAAAACAATAATCAAAATCTATTAAATATGAGTCCACCATTAGCAGGTTTTTACCTCCATACAGTGAAACTACCAATAAAAAGTTATGAAATTACCCGAAACATCTCTAAGATGTACCCATCATGAAGGAATTCTCAGCCTGTGGCATACATTATTTACATTGAATAATGTAAATAATGTAGATGATCTTGGCTGCCTAGTTCAATATCAAACTGCATTTGCATCTTCATTCTTTCCGACTTTAATATATCATTTAAAAATCTAACTTTTTTCATTGCATGGCATCATGAAGAGATGTTGATAAAATTTTAATAAAAAAAATAGATGCTGTCCTGTTGGCGAGTAGTGATTGTTACCTCCAGCAACCATATTAAAACCAATTTGATATTTTAGTGGAATTTTCTTCCCTACATAAAGGTTGCTGGTATATTTTTGGATTAATGTTCAAATGGAGGGAGACACTGAACTCTGACATAAACAATCTATCAGCAAACCCGAGGTGAATACATCAGAGTGTATACATATAAAATTGCTAATGATCACTTTACACAGAAAATAAATAAAATACCCAAGAATGTATCTTTAAATGTTTATTAAAGGGTTTTTGAATTTCATTACGATTCAAGTTTTAAAACGATGACATCAAATGGGCTTCAAACTAGATGACTGTCTTTGAACATCTACAATAAAGCATAATTGGTTGATCAATAATGCAAAATTGGTGTCAGTTTGAATTCATCACAAAGACAGACTGATAACATACACCTTTGTTAGAGTATGATCTGATCCAAAACCCAACAGAAGGGTTTATCTTGGATGCTTAAAGTGATAGGTCCCAATTCTAGTTGCTTGCAGCAGAGTAAATAAACTCAAAGCTTTATTAAGACCTGAACCTTAAATGCAGCACCTTTAGACAGCGGGGTGGATAAAGTGCAGCCAAATTCCAGAAAAGAGGGGCATCACATCAATACGTCTAAAAGTGTATTTAGGGTATCTGTTCGGCAAGAAAAACGTCACTGAGTGCAGAGAGGAATTTTCTAAAAAGTAAAAACTCCAGTAGTGGGCAGATGGCAAAATGTATCACAAGCACTAAAACCGCTTCAAAGTTAAGCCAAAATAGCCAGTAGTGAGTGAATGTGGTCAGGCAGGGTAAAGTTAAGGCATAAAGTCCTTTTCTAAAAAATCCAGATCTGTTTGTCCCTTGGTCAGTCACTGCCCCTTTACTTTAAATATCGTGTATCATTTATTTTTGTTTGCATAAATAATTTGATACACAGAAAACGTTAAAATCTTAAATATTTTTTTAATCCTTTGTATTAAACATTGCTTCTGCTAATTATGGTGCTAATCAATATTCAGGCTGATTCCAATGAAATTAGATTAGGAACTATTCTCTTGCAGTCACATATTGAAGTACTTATTAAGCATAATTTAAGAGGAACTTCATGTAGTTTTCAAAGTGCATACTTCCCTGGTGGATAATGCATGATGGGTAAGAAGTGTCTCCATTGGGCCAAACTGCCAAGGAGCAACAGGACCAGTCCCAATTCAAACCTACTTGGACTTTTTGATACCAGCTGTCAGTACTTGCAACCTCTTTATTTTAATCATATTTTTTACTTATCTTTGAAAGCAAGTTAATATGATAAAACTCTTATGTATGAAAAAAAAAAAAAAAAAAACTAGCCCGGAAGACATCTGTCAAAACCAGGAAGATAAATTTGGCTTCGTTCCACAGAGAGCAGAATAAAAGGTACGATCTATGATATTTGACAAATTTCAACATGGCATCCCTCTGGGCTTAATGCTGCCATTTATGGATCATCTTCACAGTCAGACATTGTGCTTCAGCTCCAACACTTTCTGCTGATGAGACACATGAGACAAAAACTCTTGATTCCTAAATTAGCTTCTGCAAAACCGATCAAATTAACCACATCCAAAATATATTTCTATTGCAAACCTATTTTCTAAACAGCCTACAAATCTCCTGATTTAAAAAAAAATGTCACAAAACATGTAGAAACAATGTTTAAAACAGAACTCACAAACAAAAACCAGGAAGTGATTTCATTGTTATTGCTTGTAGAAACAGATCAGGTGACTCTTGTCGTTCAGATCACCGTTTCGGGCCAGAGGTTTGCCTTCCTATTGGACCAACCCACGCACTGTGCAAAGTTTTGCTCTGACCCACTGTCTGCAGCGCTAAGACACATTTTTGGGCACTGTGAGCTTTCACTGAATAGGTCCGAGCTGCACAACCTTCTTCCACCTTGCCCTCAATCAGCTTAACTGTCAGTTCTTGGCACTGTGTACTTTATATATTTCCTCTCAGCTCTTCTAGGCCTCCTCCTGTCCCATACCCAGCATTGACCCGTTTTTTACCTGGGAGAAAATTACTCATCTGCTTGCATACCTTGCACCCCCCACCCCCCAGATCAACCAACCAGTTCTCCTTATTCTCCCTGAAGTGACAAACACTTCCCAGATTTAAAACCGGACAGCCCAGAGTATCACAGTGTGTTGGGGTGTGTGATTAAAGCCTGTTCCAAATGAGGAACAAAGGGCTTTAACATCCTTGACCTCTGCCAGTCACCTTGCCAGGTCCACAGAGGGAAAGGACAAGGCAAAAGGCAAAGATCAAATCAAAGTGTGCAGAGAAGAGATGGTGGACAAGTAGATTTAACTCCTAATTTTAGTCAAATTGAATGTCATCTCAACACTCTGCTCTTAAGAAGTCACGCAGAACACCCCGTCATTTCGCCCAAACTCTCCAAGAAGCAGCGGTTTCCTTGCAGCAGGTAGCTTCAGTTTATCTGCAGAGCCGGAAGCCGGAGGTGCCATCGGGACCAGTGGGCTGACGGATCACCTGATTGTTTGGGCGAACTGCTTCTAATGGTTGCTGCACATTCATACGTGGCGCCCTGTTGACATGACAAGAAAGACACTTAGT